ACACTTCGCATGCCTCCATGATGGATACTTGACCAACATGTTAGTAACTTCGATCCACACACGATGCAACCTTGACAAGGAAGTACGTGCCTTCCAAATCCAATATGCATACCTGACCACTTAGTCGCAGGTAGCAGCATATATAGGGTCAGACTCAGGCGACCTCTGGGTCGCCAAATAGACAGTCAGAGATGAAGATCCAGCTCGGGCCCCAACAAGCACGCCTGCCGCGGATCGAAGCTTAGCTAGGACCTCTTCGGTCAGCCCCGATACTCCTGCACCATGAGCAGCCGAAGGTAGTAGTCCCGTCTTCCAAAGGCAGCCCACCTTCTGGCCAACCGTGCGCTTGAATCGCAACAAAAAATGAGCTGCCCATTCTGGAAAAAGGAGGTGGCTGACGAGCGGGAGGATGAATAAGGGGAAGGGAAGGGGGGGGGGCGGAGGATGAGAAACGAGAAGGACGAGGAGAAACAGCAGCAGCAGGAGTGGGAGAAGCGAGAGGGGCCGGATGCCAAGAGGAAGGCGCAATGGAAAGGGGTGACAACGATGAGGAAACAGGCAGATCCAGAGAAATGGCCCGCGCTGGGGCGAAAGCGCCATGCTGAGCTTTAAGAGCAAAGCGCCGACCAAAAAATGAGGCCAACGCTGGAGCGAGAACGCCTCGTTGAATCACCGAAAACGCTCCGCGTGAACAAAGCATAAGAAAACATGCAACCAACGCTGAACAATAACAACTATACGCGGAATGGGCGAAACATCGTGCGGATGTGTAAGCGTCAGTCAATGGAGGTATGGGGATGGAACGAGACACGAAGGTAAAGAATGGCAGTAATGGAGAATGCGTCTGGAGGTTACAACTGCTGCCAAAACAACGCGCAGTCCGTGTCGGGCCCACGTAGGTGACAAATATGTCTTTATTTTCAATGGAAGGCTCCAGATGCCGCTGGCCTGGTAGGTTTCCTTTCGGGAAGGCACTTGGGCACTAATCCCCAAGCAGTGTCGAAAAGCTCTCGAGCTGTTCCAAAAATATCATATCATCAGCCACCCACTCGCGGAATATTTACGAGCACACCCCCAAGTCAAGACGGACGGTCTTGACAATCAGCCTGAGCAGGAAGCACCCATATACCTCTCGGCGCGCCTGGCGCACGGGAAGGCACAGCGCCTGCCGCTCTGATTGGGCGGGGCAGGGGCACGAGTGAATAAGGGTCCGGCACGTGCCGAAACAATCCTGGGCGCCTGTCGCCCCGTAACTTAAATGCCGGCCTACCAGAGCAAACGCGACAGAGAACTCCCCGTCGGCCCACCACCAGAGACCGCCATAAAACCAAGAATTGCCACGGTGGAGTCTGACTCCGCGCTCTAGGACCACACAGGAATGCAGAGCGGGGCAGGCTGCTCGGGGGCATGCAAAACAGAACGGATCCCCCTTCTCCACACTCGTCGGAAGGCCCCCACCTGCCTCGAAGGGCGCCAAGCAGCCCCGGCGGCAGCGCCACCCCAGACCGAACACGAAGAGGGTGGCAATGCAGAAACGGGCGCCTCGTGAGCCTGCCGATGATAGCAGGTCAACGATCAGACCTCGCATCGGACAAAGCACGATCGCGCCTGGCCGTTACGCTGATGCGCGCTTCGAAACGCTCATACGGGGGCGCCTGCCTTCTGAAAGCGACGGGCACTGTGAGCTGCAAGACAGACGGGGAGGGGGTCACTCGCATAGAAGGAGGATAGAGAAAGAGAGAGAGAGAGAGAGAGAGAGAGAGAGAGAGAGAGAGAGACGTAACCAATAAGGTCGTTCGCATTGCGGCCCCCTGATCGGCCCGGAAGAATTGACCGCGAGGGCCCCAACCCACCCCTAAAACAGGCCCCGAAGTAAAGGGCAACACGAATCATGGTCAATCGAGTCCAGATCAATCCTTTCGTCAGGAGGGGAGGCACTGAAGAGACATTCAGCAGCTCGATCATGATAACTGACCGTTGCATGTTAAACAAGGACGTGACAAAACATAGAGGAGCGACGCCAAGATCCATGGATGTGGCCTCTGCCACTTTCTTCACATTCGCGCGCAAGGCATCGATCAGACTCTCTCATTGACCTCGGAGATGTAGCACTGCGCGCGTCTCCGCAGGATGCCCCTCGCATATTTAGTCGGGGAGTGATTGCGGATAGAATCGCACAGCTTCCAAGCATTTGCTCGCGATCTCGGGCCCAGGGGCCAGACCATCATTCCAATGACGAAAGCCCCTTATGCAAGAGAAAAACTAATAATGTCACCAGACTCGAAGCCAACGGTGCAGATGTGATCGGGGTCATCGCGGGCCACGCCGAGGTAGTCGAGAAGCCCCAGAACACCTCTGGAACGGAATATGTTGCTGAAACTAACGGCTTTCGCGACAACGCGGGGCCAACTTGTGAGAAATCGCATTGCGGGGACCAGTCGTGAGGTGCAGTATATAACCTTATTTGAAGCACCTCGTGATCTCCTGGCTGGGCGGGATACATGTGGAAACGAAGCAACAGGAAGGAGACGCCCATGACCCTGAAAGCGACAAACGACAGAACAAGCCCGAGGCCTCGTTGACGAGCAAGCCGGATGCGGTAGCTGAATTTCGGCACGAGATCCTGCCAAACATGTTTGTGAACCTCAGGACCGATTGAAACCCCCAAAGACATGGCCCAGAAATCCATGAGCATCGACTTAACGGGCTCTCCGAAGGAGGCCAACACCTCTAGCAAGTTAGACTTGTCACTTCCACTGCAAATCATGACCAGGCACGTCTCAAAACACAGGCGGAGATGGGCGTACCTCGGCAACAACGATCGTGATTTCAGCTTGGGCTCGGCGCCGACCCAAATGGCCAACTCACAGCCCCACTCGGCTCGGCACACATCCTCCACGATCGCGGGGGAGCATGGCGCCTCTCTCCTCGTCCTCCTTGTCCCATGGAAGCACCGCGGTGCGCGCTGCGCCCGCGACGTACGGCTACGGAGCGCATGGCGCCAGACTGCCCTTGCCCAAGCGCGCGCCGTGCAGGCCCTGCTCCGAGCCCCCGGCCACCTTGAGCACCGGGGCTCCAGGGCGACTCGTGCCGGTTCTGCACCCGTCCGTGCTCTTTGCCTCGGTGCTAAATCTGCGCCTTTGGCTGCTGCTCCTGTCCGGGCTGAGGGCGCTCGCGGTGCTTGGGCCATCCTGGAGCGTCGACAACGACCAGGTCCCCCCAAGAGCCCGAAGGACAGCCATGCCTTTTGCACAAACTGGGGCCCTCTTTTGGAGGCCTCTTGGAGGCAGGTCGCGGCGCGGCCACAGCTGATCGCGGGTCGGGGATCTTTTGGCCCGGGTTAATCCAAACACTGGTCAGTCAGGCCTTGCAAGATCCTGCGAAATCCTGCCAGATCCTGCACACCAAAACGGGTCAATCCGAAAGATCTTGCCAGATCCTGCAGGATCCGGCACCAAAGCCTGGCTCAATGCGACCCTGGCCCTGCAAGATGCTGCAAGATCGGGTGCTCTGGCTGGCCCCCGTTCGCATGGGCCCCCGCCCCGGGGCGCCCGACTCTGCGGGGGGCCTCTTGGGGACAGGTCGCGGCGGCGGCCGCAGCTGATCACGGATCGGGAATCTTCTGACCCGGGCCAATCCAGACCCCGGATCACGGACCTCCCGCACCCGCTGCCGGCCGGCAGCCTCCTGCCGAGCAGGGCGAGGCCTGCAGACGACCTCCGCCGCGGCCTCGCGCGTGCCGCCGGGGCTCGCTCAGGCGGCCTCGTCTGCGACCATGGCCCTCCGCGGCCGGGGCCGTTGTTCGCCACTCGGCGAGGAGGAGGAGAAGCAGGAGGAGGAGTTCTGGTGTTCTGGAAATGGCGACAAGGTAGGTTGAATGGAATTTAAACAATGGATTTCTCCTTTTGGGCCCTCTCAACCTTGCTCGAGGCCGCGGGCCAAAGACCCTTGGAGATCCTGGTTAGGTAGCCCCCGCGATCACCTTCAACCCTCTCGGCACACTCCCGAGCAAGCTTTTTGAGCTGCTGGGAGGCAAAACGCCCACGCATGGTGCAAAACCACACCCCGACCCCCGAGTGGCACCGAATTTTGTGGCTTGAGAGCGGAAGACCCCCTGCAATATGCACCCGCCGTCCCGGAGGGGGTTCAAACATGGCCCCGTCGAGACCAACGAAATTAAAAAAGGAGAATCGAGCGAGCCCTTACGTTTGGCGTGTGTGGTCGACCCCTCTACACCGCTCGCATGCTCCACTGTTCTGCTCGCACAAGACGTGGGATGAGGCGAACGTACTGCAGACGGACGGAGCAGGAGGCCCCACGAGCTCTTTCGCGCGCTTGCTTTTGGAAACTCCTCTGCCGAGCTCAGCTTTACATTGAAGGGCCTCACGGGTGCTCTGGAGGGCCCTCACGCGGACAACAAAAGCGCTGTGCTCGATCATTGTTAAACGAAATCTTTGAGACTCGGGCGCGCGGGCGAAGTCGGCGCCCACGGCCGCGCATGCATCGGCAATGGTGTTCCCCAAGACCAGAAGCCTCGAGGCCCGGCCAGACATGACGTCGTCGGCCTCCTGGTGCGAATGCACAAAGACCGCAGTGCAGACCTGATTGGGGTGAACTGCCAACCACAGCCCAATGTCCCAGCAGAGGTCACGGCCCCGTGGGGTGCTGGCGTCGGTGGCTGTACCAGCCCAAGATAACCGATTCGTTATCAGTGACATAAACGCAATGGCCTGTACATGACAACAGCGCCAGTAGCAATGCTGGCATCTCGCCTCTGGCCACCGTTTGGCGGCCGCCAGGTAACCCTCGCCAGATGCCCAGCTCGAGTTGCACGTCATCTGTCAGGTCCTGGAAGCACGCGGCCGACTCCGACCCTGCGCAAGCGGGGGTCGGCGCTGTCAGCACCTCCACTGGCGTCGCCGAAGATGTACCAAGTACCAAGGCCGATCCGATGACCCATGACCTGCGCAGCCTTCGAGGTAGTTGCCCGTGGACACGTGCCAATCCTCGGACTGCCGCGGGGCTGGGATCTGCATCCAGGTACTGGGGATGAGCCCACGCGTCCAGAATCAGGCCCCTGCTTCCCCGCTCGCGTAGGCCTGTCCCACCAGTTGTTGAGAAAGCTCGTAAATGAGATGTTCGCTCCTGCCCTCGCATTCCCAAATCCAGTGGAATGCTGTCTCATCGGCTTGACCGCAGCGTGGGCAGGTGATATTCAGCTTCTGCTTGGCACGTTCCTGTCGTCGAGCTCCGGGCCAGGTGCCACCGATGGCTATCGCCAGCATGCGGCCTGCAAGATTCCGCCCTCCTGGCACCTCCTGGAGCTGAGCCAGAAGATGTATGGTGGACCGATTGCGCGCACCTGCTTCCAGTCTAGCGCCTCCGAAGTGTTCAGCTGCTCCCTGCCAGTGATCCACCGTGGGCGCCTCGCCGAAGCTGTGAAATAGTTCGTCTGGGAAATCTATGGATTCGACGCCAGTGAATTTGCTTGCGTCGAAGGTCCAATGATGTTCGGGACCGCCGCTCCCGACAGGGGCCTTCCAAGAACCGGGCCCCAGCGGTTGCCATCGAGCCTGTAGGAGGTAGCTGATGACCGCACCCTGGGGCCCTCTGATGTGCGGCGGGCGTCGAGCTGTGGGGAGGGCTTGCAGCTCCTGGGCGAGGGAGGCCCAGGTCCTGGCGACGCCCTTCCGAATGGTGGGCTGCTGAGCCCAACGTGAGAGCCAGAGCCTCAATCACTCCTGCGGCAGCCGATCGGCGGGGCCCCGACCAGGTGCCAAAATACCGATCAATGTTGCGAGACACCTGCCAGGGACCCTGGGGCCCAAGGGGTTGCCGAGTCGTCGCCGAATCTGGACCATTTCGCCTCCGTGCACTCCGTGAAGTTGGTGGCCGTAGGTGCCGGCGGCCTGCCCCCCCTGCGCCTCCACCGCCGAGTGCATATGGCATCGGTGACAGCTTTCTTTCTCACCTGACTGTGTTTCTTCTGCCTCGAGACTCGCTTGGCTCGTGCATGCCTTGGGCCTCCTCCAAGATCGCACCCGAGGTATTCTGGCTGTGGTGCCGCTTTCAAAGAGAATCCAAAGGCCTTCGCTCGCCTCGCAATCTCACAAGCGTCCTGCAACTTGGTGCACACCACTACGCTCTTGGGCGACATCTCGAATCCTGCTTCCTGCATGCTGCGGCATGTGCCCACTAAACAGCTGACCGATTGCCTGCGCATGCTCTGTCTAGAGCATGTGACCGATTGGCTGGATATCATCTAGCCACAGGCGCTGGGACATCCGGACATGTGCAGTGGTGAACCTCTGCATGATGTGATACGTGGCACATGTGGCAAACCGAATACGTCCTCGGAGCCCCTGCACCACTGGGCAGAGCGGCGAAGGGATCCGCAGACAACGAGCCGCCATGCACTGCAGCAGCTCCAGGCCCAAAACTTCAACAGGAAAATCCAGCCGCATGGCAACCCTGCCGAGCTGCAGCCAACCGATGGAAGCATATAACTCGCTGATGTCAAGGAGCCCGTTACCATGATGCATCTGTAGCCTGGCAGCGAACTCCTCGTCGATCGATATGATAAGTACTTCCCGAACTGTAGCGTTGCCCTTGATGGCCGCGCCCCGGTATGCCTCGCTGCCTGAGATCCACCGCTTGACACGTGGCTCTCACGTGCCTGAGACCATACCCTGGACAAGTGCGGAAGAAGTCCGATGATCCTGTCTCCCGCTACCCTCTTGGGAAGAGGAGCGCCGATGGTGAGGATAACTTGATGAGGCCAAGTCTGCGCGGACTCGCAAATCGATAACACAATGCTAAGTCTTTGAATGGCCTCACCAGGTAGCCGTAGAAGATCGTGGGAACTCAACCGATCAACTCCCATAGCAGCAGAGGACTTGATCGGCCCGAACGCGCACCTGATGTCAATGACGGTGAGTGCTTGCATGGCTTCGCAGCGCACCCTGTCGCGCATCGCAGCAAAGAGATCTTGCTGATCACATAGTTCAGATAAAAAGTTGAGAGCCCATACGTGCTCTCATTTCCTGCTCTTGAAGTCCATGGTGTCCTTTGGGTGTACCAAAACCTGACCATTGACCTGGGCGTCGTGCCCCTCTGGCTGGGGGTCCCTCAATTTTTTGTGAAAGACCCCGATGGCAGGTGCCGCTTTAGCCCAGCCTCAAAGTTCAATCATAGCTCTGCTCAAAGCCCGTCTCTGGCTACGACTGGCCAATCTGTCGACTGCCTGAGCGCTGGCATCGAGCTGAGCTCAGGATGTACCCTGAAGGTTCTCAAGAAATTGCTGCCAGTGCCTCCAGTCGAATCTGTCGGTGGGCTGGATGATCTGCTCTGCCTGAAACGGCGCGTCGCCCAGGAGGTTGCGGCCCGCGTGATATAGGATGGCAAATTGCTTGTCACCACCTGCCCGCCGAAGATGCCGTGTAATGCTGCGGATGATTGCGCTGGCCCGGGCCCGCCGCCCGCTGATCCGGTCGCGAAGGTGCCAGTCGGGAGGGGGTTCCTTGACGCGCGACCGAGACCTTGAACTGGGGCGCCTCTCCGCGAGTCGCTCCAGGTGGGACCTGCCGATGATGCGTAAATATGGAGGCATCCACGATTCGGATCCAGCCGGCGCGCAAAGCTGCAAGCAAGCCTGAATCTTTTGAGCCGAGGCGGTAGGCTGCGGAGCGGACGATGGCCCCCGAGGGAAGGCACTGGATGGCAGAACTGAAACCAATCCGAGCTCTCTGCCCCTTCCACGCATCACTGGGCACAGGAAAATCTGGGGGCCACGCCTACGTTTCGGACTGCTCCTCGGAAGAAGACCCCTGGACGGCGGGGCTCGGGGAGATCCGGGGGGGGGGGTCCGAAGTAGCTCGGTGCTCTGTGCTGCTCGACTGTCTAATTGGCTGGTTCTCAACTGGCAAGAGAGAAACAAAAGCAGGGGCGGCTAAGGGAGCAAATTAAAACGCCGTCTCGTCCGCCGAAGGGTCTTCCTCCGAGAAACCGCCCCAGTCGTCGCCCGATCAGACGGGCCCACCGCCTTCCTCGCAGTGAGCGCCCGCGTCGCTGAGGGCGGGGGAGGGGGGGGGGGGCCGGCGGGGGAAGAACGAACCTTGGGCGCGATGAACGGACTCACCCTGCGCGCCCACGCCGCCGCCCTGAAGGGGGGGGAACCAGGGGGCACCCGCTTGGCCTCCAAACTTGAAGTGGCCCGCTCCTGTTTCCTGGCGCTAGATTCGGAGCCAGGCGTGGCCTGCCGCTTAGGTCTACTGAGTGTTAGCAAACGGGCAGGCAAATCAAGACATTGGGCGATCAACGGAGAGCCAGACGCGGCGATGGAGCCACTGAGCCCGATGTGAGGTTCCCAGGGCACATTGGCTACAGGAACAGCTCGACGTACGTGCGGCATCGCTGCGTGACTGACTACAAGATAGTTGAAATGACTGGGCTGCTTCCTGCCACTTGGGGCACGCGTGAACAAAGCATCGGAGCGCGCAATCTGCCCTCCAACTCTGTCTAGCCACCCTGAGCGCCGCGTATTTTCTGGAGAGAGATGCCAGTCGGCGGCGGCGACCCAGGGAATCTGAATGGCACGAAGCAAGCATCCGACCCCGCGGAGGCGACCAAGGTTTGCCCCTCGAGGCCCGAACCCTGGGTGCCCGTAACAACAGAGAACAACTCAAGAGAAACCATGCATGTGCATCACGACTGGCACGAAGCCGTCGAACACGGAACTGCCTTCGGCTAAAAGTGGGCCTGCGCGGGCTGCATCTAGATGCTGAACAGGCCCATGATTGCGAGTGGGAACACACTCTCCCCCTTCATTATGAGACTCAGCGTCGCTTCCAGGCGTTTTGTTCCACTGGAGCTTCGGACGAGCTGGATTGGCGAAGAGCCTGATGGATGATAACCGCGCCTCTGGCGCCCATGACGGAAGAACTGCCTTCCCGACGTGCGTCTCGCATGCGGCCAAGTAGTATTGTGTCTGGGACTGGGCCTCGCAGGCCTTGTCACCCATGCACGTCGAGCTGCTGATGGATATTCTCGTCTCGCGAGTATCGCCGGCGTGCTCGAAATGCCGACTAGCCGCAGCACCGTCGGCCCCCACGCCTAGTCATTCAGGCTGGCTCGACGCGGCTGCGGGGCCCTGCGAGCCCTTCGGCACGGCCGAGGCGGCGGCGCCAGCTGACTTGGCTGCGGGTGGGGAGCCCCCTTTGCCAGCCGCCTTGGCCGCCGCGAACTTCGCCGCCGAGATGCGCTGCGCCTCCTTCTCCGAGTTCTCGTAGGCGTCCGCTGGCGCCTGCGTGGCTGCGCCTGCTGGCGAGGCCTGGGCGGCCGCGGCGGGGGCTGGCGCGCCTGGCGGATCGCTCGCCGCCTCCGCCGCCATGGCGCCGCCGGTGCTGCCGCCTGCGCCGACGTCGCCCTCCTCCGATGTCTTCCGCTTCTTGAGCATCCTGTCGCGGACGTCCTTCTCCGCCTTGGCGACCTTCTCGAGGAAGGCTTTCAACGCGGCGCCTTTGGATTCAAAGCTCTGATTCCACCCTTCGAGCCCGGCCTTGAGCGGACGAGGGCAACCTTGTCGTTATCCTCGGCATCCCACTCCTGGAAGTGCTCGAAGAGTTCACTGCTCACCTGGATGCTGATGGTGGGTGCCGCCCCTGCAGCAGCCGCGCTGCTGGCGCCTGTGGCAGGCTGCCCCTGCTGCTGGACTCCCTCTGCCTTGGCGAACGCCTCGGCGGCCGTGCGTTTGTCACGCCCGGCCGCCGCCAGCTCCTGGGCCGCGACCTGTTCCTGGCCCTCCGCGTGCATCAGCTACGTGCGGAGGCGCAGCGCCTGCGTCACGAGCTGCGAGTGCTTGTTGCTGGCGGCCCTCCGTGCGCCGCCAGCTCGCTTGACCTGGTCTGTCGCAGTCTCCCCAGACTGCTGTGACAAGGCTGCGAGCTTCGTTCGCTGGGCCTCCAGGACAGCCCGCATCTCCTGGCCCGCGGTGTTCGCCAATGCCTGCTCGAGGAGATGGGCCAGCTGCGAATGCCCGCTGGCGCTGCGAGACGTCCGACCTCCTGGGCTCCTCGTTCTTCTGGCTGGTGTGTTCGCACTGCCTTGGCCGCTGCGTTCCCAGTCCGACTCGTCTTCGAAGCGCACCTGCCGAGTGTCTCACTTGTGGCCGTGTGGCTTGAAGAGCTTCAAATGAGCCTGGCAGTGTTGGCGCTGCATCTTCTGAGCTCTGACCCTGTCGTCATACCCACGTGACTGGCAGTTCCCGCAACGCGTCCACGGTCTGGACTTCGCCTGCGGCGTTGCCATGGTTCCCTGGTTTCGCGGAAGTTTGTGCAATGGGCGGTAGCGAGGAGAGGGAGGGGGAGGAGGGGGAAGAGGAGGAGGAGGAGGGGGAGGACGAGGAGGAGGAGGCTCCGTGAGGAGGAGTAGCAGGAGGAGGAGGAGGAGCAGGAGGAGGAGGCTCCGTGAGGAGGAGACGGAGGAGGAGGATGCGGAGGGTGCTCGCTCTGCTGCGGCGGTGGGCAGGGAGAGCCCAGAATCGAAGCCATGAGCAGGATCGGCGATCGAGATGGATCGAATCGGCGGCATTCGGCGGCCAAGTCGGGAGAAGTCGAATCGGCGGAAATCGGCAGGCCAATAAGGCCTCCGTTGAAAAACGGAGGCCCAGATCGGAATGATGCTCCTCCTCCTCCTCCTCCTCCTCCACCTCCTCCTCCTCCTCCTCCTCCTCCTCCTCCTCCTCCTCCTCCTCCTCCTCCCCATCCTCCTCCTCCTCCTCCTCCTCCTCCTCCTCCTCGTGATCGTCGCCGTCTTCCTCATGCGCGCCATCCCCCACAAATTATTGTCGTTCACCCTCACCTTCGACCCCCGTCTTGACTCCCCATTCCCGCGTCTCCTCATCATACGAGACGGGGATAATCCAGCACCACCGCCTGGGAGGTCGCTGTGTGGGGGACCTCGGAAGGCAGTGAAGGTGGATATGTCCCCCCTTCCCCGGGGCACGCACATATCGTTGTCCACCGCCTGCTGAGGCCCCCGAAGCTCGATCCCCCAGAAGGTGATGATGGATGAATCCACGCCACGACCCCTACAATACCATCGCTTCGTCCGAGATCGATACAACGCCACCATCGCCCTGCTATAGGACAAAGCATCCTACGTATGTTCGCCGAGGCACTGCGCTGGTCCATTTGTGTTGTTCAATATCGCCCTGCATGCCTCAACCCATATGTTTCGCTCGTTTGTTTCACTTCTTGACGATGCGCCGTCTAGGCGCGGCATTTGCGTGCGTGCGTGCACATCCGATCACAACATGCCGCCGACTCGTCGCAGTCCCACGCTTAGCCTTCCCCGAGCATAGGCCAAGCCGGACTGCCAACTCGTCCCCGCCGCAGTAGGCCTACGGCAACGGAGGAAAGGAAGAACGAGGAGGATAAGGACAGACGCCTATGGGGGCATACAGGTAGGAGTAAAACACATCGGCACCACCACCACCACCACCACCATCGTTACAAGCCAGGGATGGCACTGGTGGTGTGACCCCTAGAGTTGCGGCGGCGCCCTCGAGACGTCTCCATTCTCCAGCTCGCGGACGTAGAGTGGACCTCCTGGCAGGAGGTGACCCACTGGTGATGGTGTCGATGATCGCCCCTCCGCGGGCAAGTTCACGTCGCGATGATGTCCGTGCTTGTGTCTTGCACCGCATGAGCCCTTGAACCTTGAACAATCGCGGCTCTCCGATAACGCTGACCGTTCCATATATATATATATATAGAGAGAGATACATGAAATATCAGACGTGACTAACCTTGAACGCCCGCGCTGAGTGCGTTACCGCGTCAACACGGCGAGGACTACCGTACCCAAAGCCCCCCCGTGCCTTTGATACTTTTTCACTTCGCTGACCCCCTGAGGTCTCAACGCCTTGCAAGGGACCAACTTCTCATCCCCGGGCCCCAATGGATCGGCCGAGATCTGACAACGACCTTCCGTCGTAGTTGTTGTCATGACGCGAAGGGGTCTGGGAAAGAGGAGGAGGCCTCGAGCCACGATCCCAGACCAAAAGCTGATCAAGTTCGATCCCTGGACCCCTCCCAGGGGTACATCCTGGCCTTCAGACATCGATCCACCACAGTTCGATGTCTGACGGTCCAGGGCCCCGAAGCAGGTCTCCTGAGGTCGCAGATTCAGGAGCCTTCTCGAACCTCCTCCATCGGATCCATCCACTATCGCAGATGAGGAAGAGGATGAGGAGGAGGAGGAGGAAAAGGAGGAAGAGGAGGAGTGTCCTCCAGCCACTCCTGCAGGAGTCGCGCGGCCAGGAGATCCAGCGCGGAGAACAGCAGCTTGCCCCAGACAGGGTGCAGCCAGACGCTGGGTAGCAGCACGTAGGCGAGCAGGGGGGTGTACCTCGAAGAGGAGGAAAGAGGTCAGGGAAGGATGAGGCGGTGCGGAAGGGAGGTAATTGCTGTGTGTCTTGGTATTTATGTAGGTACGTGTATGTAAACAATTTCCAGGCAATTACGTTTCAGAGTGAGGGGGGTCGGCGGCCCGCGAGGCTCCAAGGAAGCCCGCAGCAGGCGCCATTTTTTATGTGTTATGGATAGATGTATATGTATATATATATATATATAGAGATATACAAGACTGCAGTGGCGCTTCGCGCCATGCACCTTGGTCCTTGAAGTTTGGTATGCAGGCGGAATAGCAGGAAGTTCAAGCCGACAATTTAGCGATACCTCCTGGTTGCCTTTTCTGGCATCGCCGCTATAATAATGTTTTTCGTTATCCTTCCTCCATGCTTCTTTTTCCTTATGTTCGCAATGCCCTCCGCATTCTCCCCATCCTCCTCAGCTCTTTTTTGCGGAGGCTCCTCCTTGGAGAGCCTCTAGGGGCCTCACAAAAGTTGTTTCAGGCTTTCTTAAGGCCTTCTGGAGACCTCCTGGGCGTGTTCTGAGGGCCTCTGGGGGCTTCCTCGGGCCACCCTGCCTCCAACCGCGGTCTCCCTGAACGACCGAATCACGATTTGGAATTCTTCGGAGGGTGTCTCTGGGGCATCTTGGGCCGCCATGGGGCTCTCTGAGGGCCATCTTGGACCCGTGTTGTGCCGTTTTGGGGCTACCTTGGACTGCTTGGAAGCCCTTTCGGATGGTTGGGGGGCGATTTGGGAGCCCCCCAGGCGGCTTCGGACGCCCAGAAGAACGCCGTCTTGGAGCGTCGGGAAGCCGAATAGAGGAGAACCGCAGACTTCACCAACAACCAACAGAAAATCAATGATTTTTGCCTCGGGGGGCCTTCTTGGGAGTGCTCTTGGAGGCATCTTTGGGGCCGTCCTGGAGGCCTCTTGGGCCATCTTGAGGTCACGTCGTTCACTCTTGGAGCGCTCTTATGCTGTCTCGGGGGTCTCTGGGACGTCTCCTATGACCCCCCTGATCGCCCTAGGTGTGCTGGGAAGGCTTGGCAAAACGCCATGTGAGGCCCGGTGGCCGCTTCGAGGCCCGTCTGGAGGGTCCCAAAATCCCAGATCCCGGGAGTCCGGTTTGGGGGGGGGGGGGACGGGTTTTCCCCCCGCCCGGGCTTATAAAAATATAGGAAGAGGAATATGTATGTACTGATTTGTTGATGTATATAACGGGCCACCATTGGCGCCGTTTTGTCACCAAAGCAACGTGGGTGGATCGCAGGTGGGTCGCGGGTGCGGCAATATGTGTATACGAAACTGTGCGTATATAAATACAAATATAAGTGTGTGTGTGTGAATATTACAAGCTCTGGATGTGTAAGCTGTGTGGTACAAGCTAAGCGGTGTAAACTATGTGGTGAAGTCAATTCACGTTGACCGCCTTGAAGCTGTCCTCTCTACTGCTCGTGCGAACATCCCACCCTCCCACCCGCAACTTGGTCGCAAGCCTTCTTAAGACAAGACCGTGACGGTAGGTACTACATGGCACTTGGCCACGACACCGACGACGACGACGACAGCGACAACGACGACGACGGCGCCGCCGACACCGACTACGACGACACCGCCGACGTCGACGTCGACGAAGACGACGACGCCGACGACGAAGACGACGACGTCGCCAACGAAGACGACGACGAGGGAGGAGGGAGGACGGCGACGGTGACAACGACAACAACGACGATGGAGGGAAGACGGCGACGACGCGAACGACGAAGAAGGAGGAAGGACGGCGACAACGACGACGACAACGACGAGGGAGGAGGGAAGCGGACGACGACGACAACGACGACGAAGACGACGACGACGGCGACGAAATAGGAGGGACGACGACAAGACGCCGACGACGGACGACGACGACGACGAGGGAGGAGGATAACGACGAGGGAGGAGTGAAGACGACGACGACGACGAAGACGACGACGACGGCGACGAGATACGAGGGACAACGACGAAACACCGACGAAGACGACGAGGGAGGAAGAACGACCACGGCGACAACGACGACGGAAGCGATGACGACGCCAAGACGACGACGACGACGAGGAAAGACAGAAGACGACGACGGCGACGACGACGACGACGAGGGAGGGAAGACGACTACGACGACGCAAGAGCGCGCGCGCACGCTTTTGTTGAAAGTCCGTGTTGCGAAGCCTTGCTTTCTGCCCACATCCTAAGTGAGTTTCTTATTTTCTCTGCACACCACGCGCCGTCCTCCCACACCCCCTCTCTGTCTCTTCATCTCTCGCGCTCTCTCTTTCTCTTTTTCTCTATCTCTCCCACCGCCACCATCATCCCCACCCATCATCCCTCATCACCCCTCATCATCATATTCATCCTGGTGATCATCAGCGTCGCTCGATCATTCACTCACCCACTCAACATCATCATCATCATCCGCATCGTCACTCACTCCTCACTTCGTCCCACTCCATCTGTCATCATCATCGTCAGCATCATCATCATCAGCATCACCACCAACACATGACAGGAACGGTGCGATCGCCATCATCGGTCATCGATTACCACCATCACCCGATGATCATCATCACGTCACCATCATCATCACGATCATCGGCCAACAACATCATCATCATCGTCACCATCCTCATCACTGTAGTACTCACTCATCATCATCATCATCATCATCATCATCACTCGCTCGCTCGCTCGCTCGCTCGCTCACTCACTCACTCACTCACTCACTCACCCAGCCATTGGTAATCCGAGCGGGTCATTCGAAACGTGTAGCTGTCGTCACTTGTGGGCTCCTCAGGCCTGAATTTCTAGGAAATATCAAGCGGGAACCTCGTCTGTGAGTGAATTGCAAGGAAATCTCAGGCGGGAGCTGCCCCCCCTTGGGGCCCGCCTTTCATGTTGGTAATTCGAGCGGGTCATCCGAAACGCGTAACTGTCGTCACTTGTGGGCTCCTCAAGCTTGAACTTGGGGGGAAGTATCAAGCGGGAGCCCCGTCTGTGAGTGAATTGTGAGGAAGTCTCAGGCGGGAGCCCGCTCCGTATGGGTCCCGCACTTCACGTTGGTAATCCGAGCGGGTCATCCGAAACGTGTAACTGTCGTCACTTTTGGGCTCCTCGGGCTTGAATTTGGGGGACATATCAAGCGGGGGCCTCGTCTGTGAGTACATTGCGAGGAAGTCTCAGGCGGGAGCCCGCCCCCTATGGGTCCCGCACTTCATGTTGGTAATCCGAGCGGGTCATCCGAAACGCGTAACTGTCGACACTTTTGGGCTCCTCAGGCCTGAATTTGGGGGAAGTATCAAGCGGGAGCCCCGTCTGTGAGTGAATTGTAAGGAAGTCTCAGGCGGGAGCTCCCTTCCTATGGGTCCCGCACTTCACGTTGGTAATCCAAGCGGGTCATCCGAAACGCGTAGCTGTCGTCACTTTTGGGCTCCCCAAGCTTGAACTTGGAGGAGGTATCAAGCGGGAGCGTCGTCTGTGAGTGAATTGTGAGGAACTCTCAGGCGGGAGCCCGCTCCCTATGGGTCCCGCATTTCATGTTGGTAATCCGAGCGGGTCATCCGAAACGTGTAACTGTCGTTACTTTGGGGCCAAGACTTAAGCCTCCAGCGGCCTGCGCGGCGACTCTCCGCCATGACGGGTCCCGCACTTCATGTTGGTAATCCGAGCGGGTCATCGGATTCCGGTGGTTTTCGTCACTTTTTGGGCTCCTCAGATCCTGCGGCGTGAATGCGGGGGAAGGGTTCCTCAGCTTCTGCGGCCAGAAAGCGGGGGAAGTATCAGGCGGGAGCTTCGTCTGTGAGCGAAGTGCGGGTAGCCTCGTCTGAGCTGGTCGTCGGCAAATTAGTTGTTGTCATGGGCCTGCGTGCCCGAAAGGGCGACTGAGGAGCTGACGACGACGACGACGAGACAGCGGCCGGGCGCAGAGGTAGCCCCTTGTGTCCGGGCCGGGGGTGGTAACCCATCCTCGGCCGCATCGGGGGCAGGGGTAACCCCTTGTCTCCGGGCCGCCGGTGGCAACCCACCGGCGGCCGAATTGGGCGCAGGGGTAACCCCGTTGCCTCCGGGCTGGGGAAGGTAACCCATCCTCGGCCGAATCCGGGGCAGGGCAGCCCCTTGTCTCCGGGCTGGCGGTGGTAACCCATCGTCGGCCGAATCGGGGGCAGGGGTAACCCCTTGTCTCCGGGCTGGCGTTGGTAACCCATCGTCGGCCGAATCGGGGGCAGGGGTAAACCCTTGCGTCCGGGCTTGCGGTGGTAACCCATCGTCGGCCGCAGAGCTTGGGTTAATGCTGCCTCCCGCCTGAGCGCGGCTGCGCCCCGCTCGAAACCTGCGGGGTTGTCCCAACGGCTTGGCCCGCGGGGCTGTCCCGACCGCCTGCCCCCGCGACCCAGCGGCCCGCGGGGTTGCCCCAGAGGCTTCGCGAACCGACCGTCGGGGAATGCGCGCGCTCTGGCCGCGGCGGCGACGGCGCCGAGGAACATCGATTTGCTTGCCCCGCCCAGGGGGAAGGGGAGGAGCGCGCGGAGAAAAAGCAGGGGAAGGACGAGGACGGGGAAGGGGCAGGGAGGGGGTGATGATGAGGAGGAAGTGGAGAAGGAGGAAAAGGATAAATAAAAGGAAGGGGAGTAGGTGAGGGCAGAACGGCGGGCGAGAGGAGAGTGTCCGTCAGGGCGAGGAGGAAAAGGGTAACGGCAAGCTAAAACATATTCTCATGTGGGGTCCTTCCGTCGGAGTAATTGTCGGTTTTTTGGACACACGATTTTGAAATCATTCCGAAACCGCGGGTTTTTGAAGGATTTCGGCATACGCGCGCGACGACGCGCGCGTCTGCACTTCGTCCCATTTGTTGTAAAGGATTCTCGCGACGGCACACGCGCAAGGGCGTTCGACAGATTTCGACATGCGCGCGCGCGAAGCCCGTTTGGTAGCATTTGTGAACATCTTGAAAAAAAACCAATGGTTT